TCAAGTGGTATAGTTGTAAATATTTCTTGTATATATTCTTTTTATTTTATTTATCATTTTTAGGCCAGCAGTACTTCCATTAGTACTGTAGAGAGATTGCGCAATAGAGTTTTGAGTAGGCTCTGAGCTGTGTGCCGATGCAGAGACCTGAAATAGAGTTTTGAGTAGGCTCTGAGCTGTGTGCCGATACAGAGGCCTGGTATAGACTTGAGAACCCTGATCTGTGTGCCGATACAGGGAGATTTATATATTGGACTTTTATTTATATCTTATATATTTATTGGACACACCCCAAGCTGTAATTGAATTTACACACTTGCAGTATGTAGAAATTAATCCTCCAGCATTTAAGTTACCACCAGAACTAATTGGTCAAATTATAAAGCAAATCAAAGATCCAAAAAAAATTGCAAATGTAATGCTAGTAAACAAAACATGGTATAAAGAGGGAAGACGACAATTATATATTGATCAAGATGACATAATGGAATGGTTGAGATTAAAAAGGATCAATAAATTGGATAGTTTTATAAGATGTCAAATCTTGATAGGTTAGATGAATATGGAAGGATAATTAAAAAGCTTAAGAAAATTCATGAAGAATTAAATGAATTGCATTTGATTGAACTGAACAATTATTTAGAAGCAAGGAGTAATTTTCCAGATATATTTGAAGATCTTGACAGTTATGTGGATTATGTGGATTATGATGATTATGAAGATTATGAGCATTATCAAGAATTGGATGAGCCAACCAAACTATTATTTAATGACATGAAAAAAAAATTATATATACTTGAAAAAGTTAGAGAAGATATGGGTCAAATATGTAATGAAGTAGCAAGTTTTAAAAGGTTTGTATATGAAAATACATCTCATTCCATAATCATCAATGTCATAAATTAATAAAATTTTTGAATTAAACATTTCTGCTATCTATATAAAAATATTTTTTTTGAATCTTGTACCCAAATTTTTGAATTAGACATATAATTTTATAAATATATTTGTTAAAAAAAGATGTCTGACATTTTTACACACATTGGTTCTATCATCAGTGGAATCCAAGAAAAGCTCAGTGGTGTCAACAATATAGTTTCAGAACAAGCACCAGCTCAGCCAGAAATCAAATCTCCTATCATAGAAGAAATTTATAACAGACATAGTGGGAGAGTATTTATTGGGCAACCAACATATCATAGTTTGGGAGACATATTAAAATCTTTCAAAAAGCCATTGATATTATCAAACAATCTATTCCTTCAAGGAAAGGTAAGAAAAATGAAATAATTCCAGAGTCTCCTGCTGAATAAAGCAGTCAAGCACAAAGAAGAGAAGAGGCTAGAGTCCAAAAGAAAAAACTGACAAATATTCTAGAAAAAGAAATAATATTCAGAGAGATGGAGTTAACTGAATGGATGATGCAAAGAAATATAATTGCTATTCATAGAGGAATAGTACCAAAAGATAATGAAGTGAATTATTGCTTCTAGAAAGTGTCCAAGAGAAAATCAAGAGTGTTTTAAGATTAGAGCAATCAAAGAAAAAAAGAATTCAATTTTCAATCTTATTACAAGCAACTATGGAGAGGACTGTTATGGAAACAGATGAAGATGGTGTTTCATATATAAGAAATCATGAAGAAGATCACACATTCAAAACTACAATGGATTACATCTTGAATGAAAGTGATATTAATGATGAACTTATATCTAGTTCTTATGACCAAATATGTCAAATGATTAGTAAATTTAGGAAAGGAATATATATTGATGTTAAAATAGTGCAATATATTATTGCCAGAGTAGGAAGCTATATAAAGACTCCTAAAAATCTCACAAACACAAAGGGAACAATAAATCCCAATAACAGTAAGACCAAGGATAATAACTGTCTAGAATGGGCTATATGCACATTTAATGCAAATAGACTCACAGAAGGTAAGCAAAATAATCTTTGATGATTATCAGTTCTAAGACAATATAAAGATCTTGTTAACTTTGGCAATATTCTGGATGGAAAGCCAGTCCTGGTTAGCAAACACATATTTGAAAAACTTGAAACATTAAACCCTGACTATTATTTCAATGTAAATGACTGGGATGATAAAGCAGGTATGCAACCTCTTGTAATTTCAAAAGATTATACAAGAAAATATGAGGTTAATCTTCAAGTGCTAAATGAAGAATCTATAGGTGGAAAAGAAAAAACACATTATTTATGGATTAAAAATCCAAGCTTATATTTACCAATACAAAGAAAGCATGTAAGAAGCATTTATGTACCCATTGTGGGCAATACTTCTCATCAGAAATAGTACTTAGAAAGCATCAAAAGTATTGCCATGGTCATACAGATGTGCCTCAATTTACAGAGCTTCCAGAAAAAGGTAAAAATAATAAATTATGTTTCAAAAAATGGAAGCATATGATGAGATACTCTTGTGTAATATATTTGGATTTTGAATCATATAACAAGAAATGTCCAGAGGGTGAAATACAGTATGGGACAAAAAAAAACTGGAAAATTTTGAATGCCATAGTGTCATGTCTAACCACCCCAATTTAAGTCCGATTTACAATGTTTAAAATAGATAATGAAACATGAGATTAATTATTAATTTTTGACAATCTTTTGCATTTACTACTATTTTTACTTCTTTGAAAAACAACTCATGAAATGACAACCTCCAATCAAGAAACTCAACATCAAACCTTATTACATTTGTGGAATGAGGGTGTATGAGATGCTAAAGAAATACATAGAAGAACAAATATACCCCTCTCCACTATATATGATAACCTTAAAAAGCTCAAGAATTTG